CTAGAAGAATATTGTCTAAGATCGAGTCATTCAACATAAACTTGATCCATGTAGGAAGTAGGCAAATACTTCTCTTTCAATTTATTTCTCATTTCAACCCAAATGATAAGTGATTCTCCTAAGAGGTCTAGGCTTCTTTGGATTGCTTGCCAATACTGCTTGACAAAATCTTCCAACACCAATTTAGCAAAACGGACGCAATGGGAATCTAACATGTCATGCCAATCAAAATATTCTTTTAAATTAGCTAACCAATCCAAAAATTAATTGAAATCCGGAGTATCAAAAAATGTAGAAAAATCTTTAATTGACTTGGCCATAGGTGTTGAATCCTCATAGACATAACTAGATTTGCTACGATGACGACCTCGAGGAGGGACTCTTAAATTGGAGTAAATATGTGGATTAAAGGCATCATAGATACTCATGAGTGACTCTTGGAACAAGGGAATGATACCAAAACAAGTTCAAGAATGTAATTGACAAATGATTTGGACCTTTTGCAAAGTTTTTAATTTTTTAATGAATAAAAATATTAGTTTCAAATTTTTATAGGAGTGTGCATACCATAATCTAAGCTTTGCTTTGAAAAAAGTCTAAAATTAAGAAAACTTGGGGAGAATTTCACCCACACCCCCTAAGATTTGTCATTTAATCACTCAAACTCCCTAACATTCAAAATATTACACATAGATCCCCTGAAGTTTGTACGCGAGTAACACTTAAACCCCTGTTGTAAATATATCCGTTAATAAATTACACTTAAACTCTCCTAAAATTTATGGGTATATAATACTTAGACCTTTTAACTTTAAAATATTATACTTGGACCAAAAATACTTCAATCAAACATAAGATATCAAATATTTTAAATTTTACAACCAAAATTCATGTTCTATTGTATCATTTATTGAAATAAAATTAAAAATAAAAATTTAATTTCTTTAAAAAAAATCGTAATTAGTATACAATTATACTATCTATTAGAATAAAATTAAAAAAAATTAAAAAAAATCAAAAAATTGGTTTAAGTCATTCATAATAGAACATGAATTTTACATCCAAAATTCATGTTCTATTATGTCATTTATTGAAATAAAATCAAAAATAAAAATTAATTTAAAAAAAAAAATATAGCATATATTTATACTGTCTATTGGAACAAAAGTAAAAAATTAAAGAAGAAATCAAACTATAATGAACACATCTTTTAGATTTAATTGGGGTAATTTGTTATTTCAATTTGGTAGTTTAAACGGCTAAATTAAATTCTAATAAACAATATAATTGTATACTAATTACAATTTTTTAAGAAAAATTTGATTTTTTATTTTTGATTTTATTTCAATAAATGATACAATAGAACATGAATTTTGGTTCTAAAATTTAAAATATTTGATTGGAGTATTTTTTATCTAAGTATAATATTTTAATCTTAAAGGATCTAAATATTATATACCCACAAACTTTAGGGGAGTCTAAGTGTAATTTATTAACGAATATATTTATAACAGGGGTCTAAGTGTTACGCGCGTACAAACCTCAAGGGATTTGTGTGTAATATTTCAAATTTAGGAGGTCTGAGTGATTAAATGACAAACCTCAGGGGACCTGAGTGTAATTCTCCCAAAACTTTATGGGTGATTACATAATTTCTAGAACTTCTAGAGATGTTTTTATAATTTGAAACTTCTGGATAATATTTCTATGATTTCTGAAACTTTTAGGAGTACTTCTGCAACTTCTGTAACTACTGGGATAGTTCAATTTTTTTTTTTTAGATGAAAAGTTGCCGCTAAACAGTGCGATGATGAACAATGCGCACGATGAACAGTATTTTTCAATGAACAGTGTTGATGTAATTTGTACAAATCAAAGTTGGGCTCTGATACCAAATTGATGTAGATCGTATTAACTCTGATACCAAATTGATGTAAATTAGAAAGGGAAGAATTAGGGATAAGAAGAGAAGAAGAAATGAATGAAAAAAAAAAAAAATTTAAGAAGGAAGTAATATCAATATTCAATAATAATCAAAATCTAATATCAATAAAACCCTTATATGCATCCCTTTATATAGAAAAATTAAAACCCTAAACAAATAAATAATGACAAATAAATCCTCAAAAGTTAAAAAAAATTACTTAAAAGATAAATAATAAAAGTATCCAAATTACTATCATGATTAATCTCAAATATCTATCCAATTCCTACATAATTACTATCACCCCCTTTATTATAGCGCTAGGAACAATTTTGGTACTAGCAGCAACAAACATCATCTGAACCGAGAAGTCATAATTAAGGTTGTCACGAACCGAACACGAAATTAATAGGTCGAACACGAAATTAAACGAGTTAATGGGTTAAAACGGGTCAACACGCTTAAACACGAAAAAAATCATGTCGAGTTCATATCAAAATAAGGTCAACCTGATTAACCCGTATATTTTAAATTGGTTGACATGATTCAGACACGAACCTGACCTAATCCATTGCAAACCAGTTTAACCCATTTATGGCAGTATAGTTTGTCTATTATGTATGATTGATGTGATCTTAACATTATTACTTATTAGTTCTTACTTCTACTATGATAATTTACAGTATAATTTTTAACATTATTATAACAGTATACTAATATAGTTCTTACTTTAAATGATTGAATGATATATTTAATGGTAATAAACTGATGTAAAAATAGGTTATATGTGTTAAACAAATATGTATTATGTGTGCTAAACAAGTTAAACAGATTAAGTTATGTGTGTTAACCCGAAAACTACCTGTTTATTAAACGTGTCAAACAGGTCGGGTTTAGATATTCCGTTTAATGACCAGGTCAGGTTAGTATTTACAAATCTTGACATAATTATTAAACATATCAGGTTTGGGTTTTGAGATTTTTGACACTAACTCGAAATCAACCCGACACGAAATGACCCAACCNTGACATAATTATTAAACATATCAGGTTTGAGTTTTGAGATTTTTGACACTAACTCGAAATCAACCCGACACGAAATGACCCAACCCGACATGTTTAACACCCCTAGTCATAATGACAAGAGCCAGGGGCATAGTGCCTGCTTAACATTTGAAATTTTTGTTGAGCACCTTAGCTACCAAACTAAGTACACAACCAAGTTCTTAGGAAGCTATCTTGCATAATGGGGGTGCTTAGTCAAGCACACCCCAACCTTGGCTAAATCATGGAGCACCATTGGGCGAGTCACCCACATGCTAGAGCCGTGCCAATGAGCTAAGGGGCTAACACCTGCCTACAACAGCACTAAAACCCAACTTTGGTGCCCACCTGTGCACAGCTACAAAGGTCTTCACTTTAGCTGGAATTTGATTTTATGCATATCACCCGAAGGTGCAAGTTTTCCATAACCAAGCTTGAAGGCAATTGCTTATCTAAAGCAACCATGCACAAGCAAACTATGCCAGCCGGCAGGCACATGAAAAGCCCAACACATTCCCAAGCCAAATGCTGAAGTATGTAACAGAAGATAACTAACATCTACAGGACCTTGAAACATGCCTAGCTACCAACAAGGCAAGCAGTGTCCCAGTAAAACAAATGACCCAGCACAGTAAGCTGTCTGATTCTTTTTGTACTAACACAAACCTGTTACCTCATGTATGCAGCCAAATCCAGGCTTAACTCCAAACAGGTACGTCTTGCATTGGAAGTTCCACAATAGCCAAACCATCCCAAGTGTTGGGATATGTGACAGGAAAAAATGGCATTGGGTGATTATAAACGTCGTCAGATATGGAGAAGTGATGCATATTTGAGCATTTGTTTCAAAGAAGAAGAGAATAGCCAAAGAAATGCGACGTTAAGTTTTTTGTTCCAGTGGATCCCTACTTAAGGATATCTGTTTTTCAAACGAAGCATTGAGCAGATTCATGCTTGTCCACCCTAAAATGAAAGGGTAGGAGTCAGTTTAATAGTTTGTGATCTGTAGAAACTCACTTAAAAGCTCAGGGTAGTCAGTAGCATGTAGAGGACAGAGGATAGCTTCAACAAGGAATTTGAATGCCGCATAGAAACTGAATGGTTCCATGGCAATCCATATCAGCCACCTTTTGAAATAATAGTTTGGATGTCAAATAGGTAGCCAATCTTACCCACATCTCAGCATTGGCAAGACCAACATTACCCATTATTACCTACCAAAAACAGAAAAAACAATCCCAAGGCAGTGATCTTTTGGGTCCTGAGAAAGAAATAAAACGACGTTTTGATGCTTTTATAATTAGATGAGGAGAACTCTTACAGTTTTCTTCAACAATCACTAATTTTTCTTTTAGTTACTCTTTCTAGAGNTTTTATAATTAGATGAGGAGAACTCTTACAGTTTTCTTCAACAATCACTAATTTTTCTTTTAGTTACTCTTTCTAGAGAGACCCGGGCAGGGTCGGGGGAGGACTTGTCCAATGACTGCATTTGAAGTAATGGGATTTCACTTCAAAAGCTTGATTGATGGCACAATTGTGAGGAAATACAAAACATTAACATGATAACTAAAGTNAGAGACCCGGGCAGGGTCGGGGGAGGACTTGTCCAATGACTGCATTTGAAGTAATGGAATTTCACTTCAAAAGCTTGATTGATGGCACAATTGTGAGGAAATACAAAACATTAACATGATAACTAAAGTCATTAGCCAAGCACTGCCCGTTCCAACCAGGTAAATCTTAGTTCATGAGAAGCAGTTAGTTCTCTGGAAATGAATAAAGATAAAAAAAAAAAACCTAGNGAGGAAATACAAAACATTAACATGATAACTAAAGTCATTAGCCAAGCACTGCCCGTTCCAACCAGGTAAATCTTAGTTCATGAGAAGCAGTTAGTTCTCTGGAAATGAATAAAGATAAAAAAAAATTCCTACCAAAAGGTGACAGCATATTCAACCTAGCTGGAACTAAACAATTGTGGAAGAATGGAGAGATACATACAACCTAGGCTTTCGTTAACAGATACCTGAAACTCACCAATACCAGGATATCTCCATCCCATCCTTTCAGAAAAAGAAGGGTACTTTAGCTCCCCAGAAGCTCCCAGTCCGATCTCAACAGCAGAAATGAAACCTAGAGTGAACAAATCATCAAACTCTGTGCGGAAACTTCTCATGAAATCAAAATAAACCTGCAATTGCAAGAATGCTAATGAGGAAAATATCAGACAACTTTATAGAACTAAGATTCTGCACAATTATCCCGTCAGAAGATAGATAACTATGTACAAATGCTGTTGTGATCACCTCAATATCAGGTGTATATTTTTATATAATAGAAAGAAATAAAATGGGTGGCCTAAAGGAAGTTTTTGCAGAAGCTCTACAATTTGGGCATGTCAATTCCATTTAGTAAGGTATCCACCAGGACAACAAGGCCAACTAGGAATAATGAAACACCGCTGGAGAAGTTGAGCAGCAACATACTCAAAAATAGGCACAGAATATTGACACAGGCTATGTGTAGAAAGCATATGTACATGGAGGACAAAACTAGACATAGATATACGAGAGGAGACTGCAAAAATGGTTGGCACATTAAGAACAGAACTAGATATACATTTATAGAAGCAATCGATGTATGCCATATCATTTTAATGTTCACGTTCATAAACAACAAATGGATAAGCCTCGAAGAAAGTATAAGAAAACCTGAGATCTCCCATTAAACGAATTACAAAGAAATGATGATGACCATGTTTTGATCATGCACTCAAAAAAATCAATAAATATCAATAGCGCAATTGAACAGGGAAAAAGTCGAAACATATAATCCCCAAGGCATTAAATCACATAGGAAAAATTAACAAAATATAGCAGCTTTATTTTTGCAGAACAAGAAATAAATCAGGAGTAATGATAACGNTCGAAACATATAATCCCCAAGGCATTAAATCACATAGGAAAAATTAACAAAATATAGTAGCTTTATTTTTGCAGAACAAGAAATAAATCAGAAGTAATGATAACTATATACCTCTATGCCAGTCCTTCCTCTTAGTACTCGTTCTTTGTCAATGCCCCAAGACAGGCATTCAGTGNTAGCTTTATTTTTGCAGAACAAGAAATAAATCAGGAGTAATGATAACTATATACCTCTATGCCAGTCCTTCCTCTTAGTACTCGTTCTTTGTCAATGCCCCAAGACAGGCATTCAGTGTTTCTCCTTCCTTCACAGTCGGTGAAGAATATGTCTTGATTGTCTTTTCCAATTTCCAGAACCCACTGGGGGAGAGATATTAATACACCACCAGAATCATTTTCTCCACACTCGTGAAATGCCATTACAACCTTCAGAATAAAAGGTAGCCCTTTTAACTTACAAAATTCCCGTCATCAGGCNGTGTTTCTCCTTCCTTCACAGTCGGTGAAGAATATGTCTTGATTGTCTTTTCCAATTTCCAGAACCCACTGGGGGAGAGATATTAATACACCACCAGAATCATTTTCTCCACACTGGTGAAATGCCATTACAACCTTCAGAATAAAAGGTAGCCCTTTTAACTTACAAAATTCCCGTCATCAGGCAATTGGGACTAGGGTTCCTCATGAAAGAATTGCAATACCAAAAATTGAAAGGCATTGAATTCTGAATTACCTGTAACTTCAGCTCGAACTCTTGAATAATGTTAAACAGTTCCCTATATCCAGACCATTCGTATTTCTGTGGGGTCCAGCCTTCAACAATACCCCACCAGCAATCAACAACAATACCATCAACTTGTAAAGACTTCAGGTCCCTCAACTCCTGTCTAACACCTTCAGGATCCATTGACTGGCAGAAGTTATAGATTACATCAGTCTGCAACAGTGAAATTAACCGATTTTATATTTATTACAAGAATTAGATAACCAGCGAATGTGAAGCACAATCTACAACATAAAATGTATAAAAGAAAAGGAACAGCAAAAAAATAAATAAAAAAAGAAAGGCAAGGAATCTAATGATGATAAATGAACTGGAACAGGGAAAAGCAGCCACTTACAGCAAGCATCACATAAATAGGGACATAGGGAGTTCCTGAAAAATCATTCCCTTGCTCACAAGTATGAATTTCTTGCATAAGCTGCAAGATTTAACCATACAGTTAAGAGGGCCAAAACCCAAACACACTACTACTACTATGGAAACTCAAAGGTGTTCTTCAATAGCAGAATCCCTAACNATAAGCTGCAAGATTTAACCATACAGTTAAGAGGGCCAAAACCCAAACACACTACTATTACTATGGAAACTCAAAGGTGTTCTTCAATAGCAGAATCCCTAACTAGAAGCAATGCTCAATATAACCACATCCGCAAGGCCAAGAATACAACCTGATCAGCCTCCAAACATTCAGATGAGTTGTTGGGGCTGGCACCACTATACTTTTCATTCTTTGTACCCCTATCTGCAACCACTAGAGAGTCAAGAGATGCTGGCGATAAACTCTCATCAATCCTGAGGACTGATGGCGGACAGTCTAACGATGCTTTCATGGAGCAGTTTTTCAAAGAGCTAGCAGACTGTGGGCTATCAACCGACCTCATAGGATACGGACCCTGTGCAAATATTAGGACATTCAATGGCAATAACTACCACATCACATTGTCACGATAATTTACCCATACATCATAAGCAAAAGGATAATATACTTAAGATTTCTTACCTAACAAAAGACAACATTACATAAACTGTATTGGAAGTTTCAAATTGATTAAAATCACTGTTACATTCTACTCGACTAATTACTTTCAAGAAAGTTGAGTGCATGTGTCCAGCAAATCCTAAGCAAGTTAAAATTCCCAACAATATCAAACTCTCAGATATTTAATCATGCAACTTTCCTTTGATAAGCAGCTTGTGGTTGAAGGGAACAAAACAATAACATTCAAAAAATTACAAAAAGCCAATTTATCCAACACTGCGACTACCCAATTCATACTATCAATTTAATTAACTGAAATTACACACAAAAGAAAGCACATAATGTAAAATTCAGTGAACTCTAAGAAATCAACCAAACATAAAGCTGAAGATCTTGAGATTACAGAACGTTTTGACTACTAACCATGAGCGATGGAGGTGGAGAGGAGCGATAAGTGTTGCCATCTACTTCCACAGTCCAGCCAGCCTCACGGGCAAGCGCGGCGAGCACATCATTCATGTCAGCCCTCGCCGGTAAAGGGAAATTACCGTACTGACGGAGGCCAGCCAGCATTCGACTCGTGATGGCTCGCCGGTGGCGCTCTCTTAATTTCGTGCGTTCTTTTTCTTTCTCTCTCTCTTTTCTGCCCTTATTATTGCCGGTGGTGGAGGTACCCATTGAAGCGGCGGCTGCCGCGGCCGCGAATCCACGGGGGCGACGTTGTTGGGGTTGAGGTTGCTCGAGTTGGGAGTGAGGGTGGGGGTAAGAGTCGGAGGTGGGGTTGGTTAGGGGGTCCAGATCTTGTTTCAGGTGGGTGGTGGAGTTATGATTGTTGTTACTATTCATTTCTGCTGCATTTGTCACTTCCGTCCCTGCACTTCACCTCTCTCTCTCTCTCTCTCTCTCTTCTGCTAGAGCTTGCTTTTTCTACTCTCTCTCTCTCTTACTCTGAGCTCTACGTAGTGTTTGGAAACAGAAATCAAAAGGGAAAATTACAATTTACACCCTAAAACTATGCACCTAATTCCTATTTGGTCCTTCAAGTTTCAATTTCAACAATTAAATCCTTTTAAGTTTTAATTTAGTGATTACATTCAAAATTACTAATTTACTATGAGAGAATAACCTTCGGTGGACGGTGATAAACCCGTGACTTGGATAAAGAGATATATTTGTTTGGTAAATTTTTTTGTGTGTAGGCTAAAAAAGCTTACTTTGTTTTATTTGATTTTAAGGAAAAAGAAAATAGTAAACCCGGAAAAAAAAATACAAAGTAAGAATTTGAGAGATATCGGAAAACACGGAGAGAAATACCAATGTATTTGAGAGAGATTTTTTACTAGACCAATCTACCCTTGTAAGTGTTGTAACATTTTTCTATTAAAACAATTTAATAGATCCGTATAGAATGATTAAAATTAAACTTAATTAAAATTTTAATGATTTGATTGTTACAATTAAAACTTTAGAGACTAAATAAAAATTGAGTGCATAATTTAAAGATATAAATAATAAATTATCCAAATAAAAAAAGGGGAGGAGAAGATTTTAAGAACCATTAACGTTCCATCTCTGCTAAACAATTTTAAATAATATTAAAAAACACATAACTCAAACTAAACTTTTTTTTAGATCTAAGCAAACGCAAGCCATCGTTGAAACTAAAAAATTCGCAAAGGATAAATTAAGACGTGCTCATACCCATCTCCATTGGATTATCTTTTGAAGTTATATTTTTTTTAATAAAACAATATATAAATAAAAAAAAAGGAATTGATTTTTAAAAATAGAGTTTTTGTTGCAGGATTTATAAAGATTAGATGTAGATGTATTGAGACAAAAATTTCTCATCTCTAAATTATCTTTAACTCATTTTATAACCTTATTAGGAATTTTTTTTTTACTATAATTTATTATCAATTATTAATTGACGAGTCCAACAATTTTGATAGACACATTTAACTAAATTTAAAAACAAAAACTATTACTAAAGTACCGACAAGTTATTTATAGAGACGCGTGAATAATCTTATTATAGTAAATACTTGATTTAAAATTATATTTTATTAATTATAATTTATTGAATTTAAGGATGAATTACATAAAATTTCCTTAAGACTAAGTATTGTTATACTATGTCCCTCACAATTTTAAAAAATGTGGATAATCTCTAGTGATTAACAAACAACTAAACAAGTATAATATGTATAACAAATGTGTGTTTCAATTCATCCCTACCTCTATCTTTACACGAGTTTATACAAATATCCCAGTATATGTCCACTTTTGAATACATATAGTCTATCCTCGATTCAAACGGAACGAATTTGAACAAATACTTTTTTTTTACCGGTCTACTACCATCTCTCCTACCATCCCTCCGTATTAGTGGACAATCATGCAAAAAACAATTACCAACAGTTTTTGTAATCCAATACCCAAGTGATTGAGTAGAGGAAATTATAGCAGTAACGGAAGAATTGCCAACATAACAGAAATAATAAGCAGAAGCAAAGGAAATTAATTATATGAATCTTTTTTTTTTCTTTTGGGTTTGTTGGGTACTTTTGGAAGAAGGCTGCAAATTCTTTTATTTAAAATTATATCATATTTAATTCAACAGACAAAATGCATTAACAAACGGCGAGAAGAACCCTCTAATATATAACCAATCTTACATAAATTCATAATGATTAACAAATGATAAAATTTAGCATTGAGAAAATTTGAGCAAAAAAACAACAAAAAGAATCGAAATCCTCCAGACTTGCACGAGAGAAGGTGAAACTGCAACAATTTTGATTGATGACAATTCATGAGAGACAATACTATTGCTGCAGTCTTATGTATCCACTGAACAAAGTGTTTCGAAAAGCTTAAGGTCCCAAGTTCGAGCATTCCTTCGATCAAAAAAAAAAAAAAAGTTCGAGCATTCCTACAAACACTTACATAAACAGACTCGAATCAGCTGCTGGATCTGTGTAATGGATCATAAGCACGGAAAAATAATCGTACACCCTGAACCAAAATGTATTCAAAGTAGCAGACATACCAAATAGNAACACTTACATAAACAGACTCGAATCAGCTGCTGGATCTGTGTAATGGATCATAAGCTCGGAAAAATAATCGTACACCCTGAACCAAAATGTATTCAAAGTAGCAGACATACCAAATAGAATTCGTATAGTACTTGCAATTGTGCTTGGTCTACTAAATGTAAGCAAAAGCTTGTGCAGCTTTGTTGTTTACTCACCAAATCTGAAAGGTAAGATCATAATAAGCCCACGAGGGAAAGTAAAATTTGAATTTCTTTCATTTAGAAGGCAAAACTACCCAGGCATGTGATAACACCATGTAACTATGCCAAACAAAAGACACAACAAACCAGCTAAGAATATAGAACAAATTGAAGGCCCTTTCATTAATTTACTCAGAGTATTGCTCTACCGGAAAGAACCTCTCTCTCTCTCTCTCTCTCAGTGCAGCTTCTAGTATTGCAGGAGACATGGCATGAATCGTTCGGTCAAATTGACCAGGCAGAAGCTTTATATCACAACCAACACAACTAATAAGCAAAGCAACAAACCACACCAGAAGAAAAAGACCGCCCTTCTCAAACCATCATATAATCTGGCATGACTTTCCATTCTTGCCAATAGGCAGAATCTCTCCACTTCTCTCAGTTGATGGGATGGTCTGTGAGAAACCAGACCTCAATCTGTTTAATTCTCTGCAGGCAATGTATCAGATCTACAGATGTCGCCACGACAAAGTGGACATACCCTGTGTTCATTGTACGAGTTAGCAAAATATTCTAGATCTGTGATAATTTTTTCAACTGTTCTAATTTTGGAGGTCAACAATTTGGTCTATACGTATGTTGTAATTGGGATACACTGCCATTACAGAAAAGATAAGCCAAAGGGTGTACCTGTGCATGTCCTTTAGCCATTTGTCAACACATGTTCTATGAAATTCATGTTGGCAAGGCAGTATCCGCACACTATCTCCTTCTTCATACTCAACAAGGCAGATGTAACATCTAATGAATCAAAGTGTTACCCAAAGCAAATTGTGAATAAAATAAACATGTAAAACTTTCCAAAAAATAAATAAGAGGGTAATCGCGTGAATGTCAGTGGATAATTAAAAAAAGGTTTCCAGAGTCGGTGTTTTGACATACTAATTGTCACGGAATTAGCATTAGAGCATTCCAGCCTGAGAAACATTAAAAGGAAAAAAAAACTTCCATGACGCAAAAAAATGATGATAATTTGACTAACGCCAAGATTCATTTCACCATACATTCAAAAAAGATGCCCCTTTTCATTTGCATTGCAAGGAGAACAACCAAATCAACTATCATGACTGGGACAGTAATTGCAGATGGTGGGATCACAACAATTAGCCTTTCCTCCATAATACAGATTTTGACTCAAATGCATCCTGCCATACATCCACCTTTTACTTTGTTATTAACATATAAAACCAAATATCTGCACAGTGAACTATGGCGTTATCCCTAGAGTGAGTTTGCTTCAGATATCTTGCCACTTTGGGACCAACAGAAATTTTCAGTGAATATGTCATAGGTTCAAGTGTTCGTCGATTAAGTGACAAACTCAACTTGTTTGCCTCAGTTATCCTAGGTACTCACTTTTTGAGATTCGAAGGAGGTTGATCACAAATCAGAATGATCGGCAACTAATTACTTCCTTCCACATCTCTCAAGAATATCTTAAAATAGTCTCCGGTAAGTTTTCAAGACTACTAGTAAAGTTGCATTCCATAACTGTCTAGACCTAGGAATTAGTCCTTCAAGTTCTATTAGCTTCAGAATCTTCTCTAACAACTACACAAACCATCCCTCTGCAGCCCCAAGGAAAGGCATTTAATATTAGGAGTTTTATTACTCCACTGGCAGCTTTTTAAACCTCTTCTCCATTACAATCTCAGTGGTAGCATAGGGACCTCAAATAAGTTTAGCAGCATTCAAATGAAGAAAGCGTGAACTGGAACTTGGCATTTCATAAAGTAATCCACTTTATTGGCACCATAAAATCTTCGAAAGAGAGTAAAAACCCTTATTGTTATGAACATTGTCATTTTAAATCTTGGTGTATTGAACATCCTTCTGTCTTCAAAGTTTGAAGAAATACAATTTCCACGTTCCTGATACTACGAAGAACAGACATAATAATGGGATGTTGGCACGTCACAACATGACAAGTTCGAAAAAAGTAGGACACAATCATGGACACGAACCTGGCTAGAACATGCTAGATATGTTATAAAAAATGTACAAAATATAGGAAAATCATTATTCTTAAATCTTGCCTCCAGTACTCTAACATGAATTTTAGACTAGATTTATTTGTCTCATTCACTTAAGCCACCATCTTTAGTCAAACATTTATTTGCCTTTCCCATTTTCCATATATTTTAGGCGAAGTTTTTGCTAAACAAATTGAAAACAGTGATGAGTTTCTAGGGTTACATAGGTAAAATATGAGAGTCCCTATGACTAGAAGAAACTGTGATAAAGCAAATAAATGGCTGTGGTATCTTTCACCCTGTTACCTAACATCGATTATATTGTTCTTCTGTGTCACTTGGCTGCAATCAATTTTTGATAAAACATAATTCGATAAAAGAAGTTTTTATGATATAATACAAGAAAACAATGCAGATTTATGTCATCAAAATTAAACACAGTGGCACTTGTAACTAATAAAAGCATAAGAAAATTTCAGGGTTAAAAAATAGCAGGAATTGTTCCCCCTTGGGGATGTTAAAATAAAGATATACCACCTCTACCAAAGCTATTGTAGTCAGCTGAAAACAAAGTAAGACAAAAATTGCAAAGCTTAATCACTCACTGTGCAGCTTCTTCCTTCAGATGCTTTTGCATTTTACTATATACTTTCAAAGGAAGGGATTCCACAACTTCATTAGGTGCAGGAACAGATCCGATTGGAGACACAGAAGGCTGGGAGGATAAAACTACAGATTGCTGGTGAATTTCATCCAGAACCTAGTTAAGATACGTATAAGGATTCAACCCATATTGACAATTTCAGAAGGAGTATAAAAGCATCGCTCAAAAGGTAACATTACCTCAAACAAAGCTTCAGCTAACATAACAATCCTTGATATGCTAGCCCTAGCATTTGTGTCATCATTTGAATTAGGATCTCGAGAACCTATACGACATGAGCAACGACCTGTTCGATTGTGACCAGATAAGATACAAGACCTTTCATGTCCAGAGAGGTTCTCGAAACGGCTACCCAACCGCTGAAGAGCACGTACCTGAAATACTTGCCATTCAATTGAATTACATGGAGAAACAAAAATACTGCAGCTAAAAGGCCAAGAAAGGCTTAGTATAAGAAACGTAGCTTGTAAAAGTGGGACCAGGGTAGCATGGGAATCCAGCAGATAGATAGTAATGTAATATGGGACTTGAATAGGCAAAACAAAAATTTGGGATGCATAATAAGCCACTAGGTTGAAATTTGGTCATCATTATGTCCTACACAGCTAAATTGCAGGGCAGCAAACTGCATGCAAGCCATGTGTTTTGGATAAGCAATTAAAATTGGTCCATCAATAAAAGGTAGCAAAGCTAAGATCCTTTTTCCCTTCTATGATCAAGGAAATAGTAACTGTAAATAAATAGTTAGCAAAAATTTACTAACCTGAGATCTTATTCTTCTTCTCCGTTCAAGGAAATTTGACCTACGTTCCAAGAGATCATGATACCTGCCTTCTCTTGGATGTGAGGTTTCTACTTCATAATCTTGACTGCTGTACAAGGAACTGGTAACAGTGGATGGAGCATAACCAGAAGAAATTGTTGAGGTTAGGTCATTGTCATTGGATGCTGTTGCTCCTGTTCCTCCACCCAAGGCCTGTATCCCACTACCTTGACTAGCATCTCTCACTTCCATCTCTTCTTGCAAGGGACAAAATGTCAAATCAGCAAATGATGACCTGCGAAGAACTCTGTCACGAAGTCTACCAACACTTAGGGTTCTACTGAACTGAACATTCCTTTCCACAGGTTCTCGAGCTCCAACCCGCCGTTCAGCAAGTCTTGTCTCAGAACCCTCTATTTCAGTTTGATTTCTAGGAGAACGTAAATTCACATTAAACTCGACTCTAGAATTATCAACATCCCTGGGCACATCACGAATGGAACTTATTTGATCATCTTGCAAATGATCAGTAAAGCAAGAAGTTGAACGATGTGACCGCAAGTTGCCAGAAGCAAAATCTTCATACTGTGGTCTTGGAGATCTGTTAGTGAGGCATGCCGAAAACAAGTCACAACCTCGTCGACTGTCATTTCTCTTTCTTAGGCCTCCAGCGGGACCTTTATGTAGATGCAGCTCGTCTTCATCATTCAAAATTGTGAAACTTGTCGAAGATGCAGGATAAGCCCTTGAAGACCCTGAACTATTTGCCCTGCTTAGCCTGAAGCTTATGTTACCAGGAAACAAACTAAAGCGAGAACACAAGTGATTTGAAGGGTTCGACGATCGAGAAGATAATGCTTGGGAAGAAGCATTACCAGCTCTAGAGGCGGTATCTGAGAGGCTTGATTGGTTCCACTCATCAAGCTGCAGGTTGGAAGGTATGATGGCCGTTTCATCATGTTGTTCAATTTCCACCTTTCTGTAACATTCAGGTCTCACTTCAACAGAGCCTGATTTAGATTCATCAGTACAAGGGCAGTCACTCCCACTTGCTTTCGTCTGATGGTCAGAAACCTGAAGCATGAATTAGAGAACAATTGAATTCATTGGGTTGAGGGTAGCAACTATGGTCATCTTAGAGCACAATATGCAAATATACATGAAACTTGAAAGATAAAGCAATGACACCCATTAGTCGCAAGATATTATACCAAACGAATGTTCATTCTCACCTACACCTCTTAACTTTCATAATTGAAAAACCTTAAAGAGTTAACTGCAGAGGAGTTGTTAATTAAAACAATGTCGCTTGGTACCAAACCGACGTCATTCTATTTACCAAAATAGTGTCGTTCCTCACCCGAACTTCTACCACCAAAATGGAAGTTCAAACTTTTACACAATACAAGATGGGTTTGTTTTGTGCGAATCCAATTCAGTTTCCTTGTTCAAATACTAAAGATGCCTAGACATTGACACTAAAATCTTGATTCTATATTCCCTTCTCAAGAACCCAATTTCATTAACGAAGTCTTCAACGTCAATAAATAAGACCCAAGAACACCTTGGTCCTGGCTTGTAAATAAATAATTATACTGATAAAAATCAACCAGCACCAGAGCACAAAACATCAGAACAACAGCGCAAATGAATACCCATATGAAATCTACTTGCTAAAAACTCATGCATGCGGAAATTCGAAAGTAAAACAAATGTAGATGAAAAAGAGAGAAGATAGAGTGACCTGGGGGGGCTCGTCATTGTCACCGTCGTTGTGAGATCCAGAGGGTGTGCCGAGACACGAAGACTTGAACACTTTACTTCCTTTGGATCGATATCTCTGAATATCCGACGATGACTCGGCGGCATTGGGTTTGCTACTAGTTGAACCCATGATCTCAGACTTACCCAACCACCCCCAATGCCTCTAAAGATCTATCTTATTAACTTCAGCTCACTCACCATCAAAATTCAAAACCCACTTCATTTTTGCTTTTCAAGATTTGGAACCATGAGTCTTTGAAAGTAGCAATGATTGCATTTCAATGGATATATCTATACAACTGTTTGTAATTTGTATGTATGTATGTATGAGAGCCAGAGAGAGAGAGAGCACAAGACGTCCCCTTCGCCTGTGTTTGGGGATTCAAATGATAACATGCCCGGAACGACACAAATGGGTCACGTTAAGTATGGACCAACTCTGGTTGGGGTGGCCCCGCTGTCAATGTTAGGGTTGCGAGAGATTAAGAAAAAATGTTATTTAACTTTAATTTGGAACCTTACGATTCTTAGAGAGAAAGTATAATTAATATTTGACAATTTCTTATTATCAGTATAAAGAATTTATTTTTTTATTAATTTTTTAATATTGACGTGGATAATCTATCTTTAATAAAATCAAAAAAATAATTAGTAGAGGTGTGTGCAAATTAACTCAAACACTCATTCCTGTTAAAAAAAAAAAGAACAAAGAATTCCGAGTTTAACTTTTAGCCTAATATTCGGTGTTTATTCTAGGATTGTACAATATAGGTGGAATATAAATTTAAGATAAATTATACTTTGATATGTTAAACTATGGACTTGGTTTCATTTTGTANATGTTAGGGTTGCGAGAGATTAAGAAAAAATGTTATTTAACTTTAATTTGGAACCTTACGATTCTTAGAGAGAAAGTATAATTAATATTTGACAATTTCTTATTATCAGTATAAAGAATTTATTTTTTTATTAATTTTTTAATATTGACGTGGATAATCTATCTTTAATAAAATCAAAAAAATAATTAGTAGAGGTGTGTGCAAATTAACTCAAACACTCATTCCTGTTAAAAGAAAAAGAACAAAGAATTCAGAGTTTAACTTTTAGCCTAATATTCGGTGTTTATTCTAGGGTTGTATAATATGGGTGGAATATAAATTTAAGATAAATTATACTTTGATATCTTAAACTATGGACTTGGTTTCATTTTGTACTTGAACTATTAAATTTATTACATTGCTCTCTCACTACTTGAATTATTTTATATTTTATATTGATGTGCAAAAAAAATAAAATTATTTTATATTGTCCCAAAAAAAGTGCAAACGTCCTCTATCTTTTTAGACAAAAAATTGTTAATGTATTGAGATAAAGTAGAAAAAGTTTACATAGTTTGGGGGAGAAAATGAAACACCATTTGGATTACTGTGAAACTAATCAAATAATTGATGGTGCAATGTGAAAAAATAGTAGTTGAGGGGACAATATGATNTATTCGGTGTTTATTCTAGGGTTGTATAATATGGGTGGAATATAAATTTAAGATAAATTATACTTTGATATCTTAAACTATGGACTTGGTTTCATTTTGTCCTTGAACTATTAAATTTATTACATTGCTCTCTCACTACTTGAATTATTTTATATTTTATATTGATGTGCAAAAAAAATAAAATTATTTTATATTGTCCCAAAAAAAAGTGCAAACGTCCTCTATCTTTTTAGACAAAAAATTGTTAATGTATTGAGACAAAGTAGAAAAAGTTTACATAGTTTGGGGTAGAAAATGAAACACCGTTTGGATTAGTGTGAAACTAATCAAATAATTGATGGTGCAATATGAAAAAATAGTAGTTGAGGGGACAATATGATAAAAATCATAGTTGATGGCGTCAAAGTATAATTTATCCCTAAATTTAGTATTAAACTGGGTCCCAACATTTGTACTAAGTAATGATAGAATTTGAATTGAATTACAATTTTTTGTCTAAACACATTTGAAAACTAATAATCTCTATTCAAAATTTGAATATTTCAAATTGGACCCATATTAAATACGACTTTATCCATTCAATTATGGCATAAATAAGCCTCGTAACTTGAAGTCCAACAACCACCGATAATAATCAAAAACCTATTAAAAATTTGAAAATTAAAACAATAATTGTATTCTAGTTATAAAAGTATTGTTTTATCCATTCATCCTATTTTTTATCTTTTCACATTTTCATCCTCTAACTTTTTTCATCATACCGGGCTAACCATAAGAGTAATTGAATTGTTTGATGGAGTTCAAAAAATCCATGTGCCTGATTAGCTATGAAACACGGATACTCTCAAGAAGGTGACGTATTCGTGTCGGACACGTGTCCATACCGACACTCTTTAGATACTCTCGGACAAGTGTCCAATATTCTTTTATCCGTGCTCATAATTAAATGATAATTTTTTAATTTCGGACACATGTCAAACACTTCTTTGATGACGTGTCCGACACTTCTTTAGAACGTGTCTATCACTAAACTATCAGCATATATTAAAATATGATTAATAAAACTTAAAAATTTAAGAACATATAATTATTAATACTAGACATGTTAAAATTATACTCAAATTATAATAATAAAAAAAAAATATGCATATTATTTAAATTATATATTAGGTATATATTGTCTGCAAAATAAATTGATAATTATTGACTATAATAAAGATGCCTTAGTCTAAAAATTTACACAAATGACTAGACGTTAAGTTTATTTGTCATAAAATACTGATTTTTTTATANATTGTATTCTAGTTATAAAAGTATTGTTTTATCCATTCATCCTATTTTTTATCTTTTTACATTTTCATCCTCTAACTTTTTTCATCATACCGGGGTAACTATAAGAGTAATAGAATTGTTTGATGGAGTTCAAAAAATCCATGTGCTTGATTAGCTATGAAACACGGACACTCTCGAGAAGGTGACGTATCCGTGTCGGACACGTGTCCATACCGACACTCTTTAGATACGCTCGGACAAGTGTCCAATATTCTTTTATCCGTGCTCATAATTAAATGATAATTTTTTAATTTCGGACACATGTCAAACACTTATTTGATGACGTGTCCGACACTTCTTTAGAACGTGTCTATCACTAAACAATCAGCATATATTAAAATATGATTAATAAAACTTAAAAATTTAAGAACATATAATTACTAATACTAGACATGTTAAAATTATACTTAAATTATAATAATAAAAACAAAATATGCATATTATTTAAATTATATATTAGGTATATATTGTCTGCAAAATAAATTGATGATTATTGACTATAATAAAGATGCCTTAGTCTAAAAATTTACACAAATGACTAGAAGTTAAGTTTATTTGTCATAAAATATTGATTTTTTTTATAAATTATATATCATTATCACTATATGTGCAATAAATTATATAATGTTATATATAAAATATATTTTTCTTATATGAAAAAGAGAGAAGATAGAGTGACCTGGGGGGGCTCGTCATTGTATACGAGTAATTGAATTTTGTTTATAAATTTTTTTATAAGAGTAATTGAATTGTTTGATGGAATTCAAAAAGTCCATGCGCCTGATTAGGCATATTTATGAGGGAATGTGATAATAATGATAAGAAACAATGATAACCGCCCAACCACCCAAATCCACCACGTCCACCACCAAGCCCAACCCCAAGCCTAAACCACCTAGCACTCAAACCAACACCGCCCAAAGCGCCACCCATACCAATACCCATGTTCTTCTTCCTTTTCTTTCCCTATCCAGCCAATCCTTACACTGCTAATGCAACGATCTCCAGCTCTTACACTTGAAACTCATAAAGATCTGCAAATTCTACAAATTCAAGTTTAATGGGTTTCACCTTACACCGACTTGGCTTGAACGAAAGTTCAAATTTAAAGTATCGGCCAAGTTATACTCAACATGGCACCTTCTGAGTTAATACCGTTACACGTCACATATAAACTCTGAATCTTGCATGACTTAACCGAGTCATCTCCGAATTAATTATAATCCCCAAACTATCATTACTGAATCGACTAATGCTGTAATTCTACGCCACTCTGAATTGATGGCCGNACTCTGAATCTTGCATGACTTAACCGAGTCATCTCCGAATTAATTATAATCCCCAAATTATCATTACTGAATCGACTAATGCTGTAATTCTACGCCACTCTGAGTTGATGGCTGATACNTCTTGCATGACTTAACCGAGTCATCTCCGAATTAATTATAATCCCCAAACTATCATTACTGAATCGACTAATGCTGTAATTCTACGCCACTCTGAATTGATGGCCGACATGCTTGAACCCATTCAGTCCATCACCCGCCAAACCAAGATCGAACCAACACCAATATTTGGCATGGCAAATGAGATGGTTTGTTTTGCCATTCATGCCAAACTTTGACATTAGTGTTACCAAATGGCACTGCATTTGTGCTCTAAAGGCTAACCAGCACAACAATCCCAGTCAGCTTTGTCCCCAGACAGGCGATGCTTAAACAGGAAGGCCAATGTAAAACCACAGTATAAAAGAAAACAGGCGAAGGTACCTTCATGCTTGAAAGTAATCATATCTTACACGAAGAACTTTAAGCCTGCAAGTAAAAGTAAGAAGAACAGAGCAAAAAACCAAGCAGCGATAGAAGTTAGGAGCGCGACTTTCTTCTATCATTCATTCCTTTCAGATGTCATACATCAACACAATCTATCAAAACAAAACATAAAAGAGGGAACACATTACACATACTATATGCAAGTTAAATCAACAATGTCTTTNTCATTCCTTTCAGATGTCATACATCAACACAATCTATCAAAACAAAACATAAAAGAGTGAACACATTACACATACTATATGCAAGTTAAATCAACAATGTCTTCTAGTTAATGAATGGATTCAAAAGAAAAAATCAATTGGAAAATTTAAGCCAACAACCATAGCTGGAGCTGATTCTCAAATATTTGTACAAATCTATACTGAAAATCCTCTTCATCCAGGCTCAACCTCATCAGTTTTTGTCTCGTTGAATCCTTTCAACTGTTCAGTTCGAGTGGAAAACCCGAATTTTTGGACATGATAAAGTTCCCTTCAAGTCCACCCATAATCCTACAAGAGACTTATTTTGTGCACTATCTATTTGGAATAAAAATTAGTTGCATTAACAACATGAACAAATAACAACTATCAAATAAATACATAAGAGGAACCACAAAATACAAGTCTAAAACTTGACATACCTTCTTGCAATGAGGTCAATAATTTTTTCGACCTAACTGCCATGCAAACTGATCAGCAGCAACCATTGCACGAGATGCTGATCCAAGAGATCCATCGTATCTGTAACAGCTCAATGACATGCAAAAAATTTAAACAGATCAATAAATTTTCTGGTAAAGTCATGCACCAAGTTCCCCACAATGTAGGCATTTGTACTGAAGAATCATTAGTAAATTTTCAAAACAACTGAGAGCAGCTAACAGAAAAAACAATTTAAAATGGTGATATACATGCTTACAATGCAACCAAGAGGAATGCTGTTGTCTGCATCACAATAGCACCTTCACCAGCAGGCTTTGTAGAATTCATGCACCTTCCACAGAACCAACTCTCATGAATTGATGTGACGATATCTGCCACCAAATTTACACACTGGCTTTAGACAATGAATTATGATTACCCCAAGATAAATAAAACAGTGGCTCCTATTGTTCTTCTTGAAAGGTGGTTCCTACTAACATGCCTCAACTAATGAAATCAACAGGACGGTGACAGAGAAAACCAGCAGTTTCTTCTGATTTTGCTGCTCATGAGGTTTCTTATCAGAATCTCAAAAATGACTACTACTGTTAAAAATGACCAGTCAGAATGCATGAAAACTCTTTTTCAGGTGTTCATGAATCATCCCCACAACTTAAAGATCAATTGGAGATTTTCAAGCATAAAAGAATTGGCCCATGAATGCCACCGTGTTTGTAAAAGTATAACACAATATCTCCTTTGTATTTAAAAAAAAATACCAACTTATTGAACCTTAAAGGAAAGGATGTATTAAAGAAGAATGCCACATAAAAATTGAATTGAGTCCAACTATGAATGGTAGTGAATATTGGGGACAAAACAAACTATAAAGGATCTGTCACAAATGAAATTTAGGCAAAAACTGTCCCAGTATCTGTTGACTTTTCATTTGTTCACTTGGCTAAGAGATATCTGGCATTATATTTATGACCACAGTGGAACTCACATTCGTTTTGCCCAATAAAGAAGCTCTCTGTCTGGAACTTGTTTTGTTTGACAAAACTGACAAAGGAACTCAATTCAGTGGGATCTGTTTTTATCCCTTCTTGCTCTGCACTGCAACAACGAAAACATGCCCGCAGCAGAACACAATGAGAAGTTAAACCAACCTAGTCAAAAGTTGCAAATTTGTTGATTAAATTAAGTGCGGACAAGTAATAACCAATTCCATTCCATGAACCAAAGGGATCTAATATGCAAAAACTAGAAGCTACTAATTAGCTCAAGAGACAATGTCCATGTTGTGAAGCTATCATGAACAACATAGGAGCATTCAAGAAATGGATGGCATGGCCGTATATTTTAAGATAGCCACAGAAAAAAGAATAGACTCAATTAAAAGTTTTTGCTTACATGGTAGACAACAGACGTGAGGGTCCGGTTGGATCGTAGTTAATTAGCAAAGCAGCCTTCAATGGTTGACCTAGAGGTCAAGACATTCTTCTCACTAATGTACACCGTAAGCATATAAAAATAAAACACACAGAGAGAGAACATAAACAGTTTGAGATGCTCACCAGAAGAACCAACATGGTTAGGTGCCCATCTATCCCAAATTTTATGTACAGCAGCCCAGTCCATTATGGTAGGTCACAACTGCAAACCTCATGGAAAACAGGAATTAAAACGTAATACACATCAATAGAGCAAGTATGCGCGTTAATACCGAAGGACTAAGAATGCTTCCATTTCCCATGGAATTTGGATGGCTTAGTCGTGTTTTATGAAGTCTTAGAAGTTTTTTAAAAAAAAAAGTTCCATCAGCCAAATTGGGTTTTTAAATATGATGTGCAATCTTAGAAACACTAAGTTTCATTTTAAAACAAAAATGACCATTATCAATACATTAATCTCAGAAGCACATTAGAGGACTACCCATCTTGAAGCCAACCTATAATTTGATGGATAAACAAAACTAATAAAGGAATGCCAATCATATATTAGGAACTCAACCACACATGATCTACAATCTGAATATTTCCCAACTCTTACAGCCAGATTCAAACAAGCAAACCATTATCCCACCTGCAGTATGGGCTACATGAATATCCTCCAAATCCATCTGAGATTATTTTCTATTGCGATTTTTACTTGTTTTCCAACCATCAATTGCATTCTTTCTAGCTCTGACCATCAAACTAAAACTTGGGTCACAGCTCGTAATTCACCCATTATGTGCTAGGTATAAGAGCCAATACAGTAATGAAAGACCCATATACAGAATTACCATAATCACCATATACATGAAGACCACGGAGCAAATTTAATTCACTCTTTCCCAATTAATTCCACCTAAATATCAATATACATTTTTAATGACAAAAGAAATATGAAATTTCTTTCCGGGAACATATCGTGTCCCCAGCTTTCGTGTTCGTGTGTGTGTGTGTGTGTGTGTGAGAGAGAGAGAGAGAGAGAGAGAGAGAGAGAGAGAGAGAGAGAGAGAGTACTTAAGTGGGAAGCCGGAAGAGAGAAACGGTGGTGGTGGAAGCGGCTACTGTTTGGGTGAATCAAGTCGCCGGTCTCGAACTCCCACAACTTGCAAGCCTCCGGGGCCCCCGGTTTTAACTTTAAATTTTAAATATAAGAGGAGGTTAAAACAAATTTCCCCAAACTAATTTTTCAAAGGGAGAATTATACTTCAACCTCTCAACTATGAGAAAATATTCAATGAAATAGTGATACTATATCAGTATTGATGACATAGTATCACTAATCAATATTAAAATCTCAAATGGATAAAGTGAATTTTATTTAGGTAATTATTAGTTTACATAGAAAAAAGTAAGTAAATATTAACTTACAACGAAGAAGAGTGAATAATTATTGACTAATATAGGCGAATAGTTATTGATTTGTGTATGATCTATTTTTTTATTTGTTTACACATTATTAATTAGTGATACCACGTGATAACGCTGACGTGGTATCACCGTTACAATGAATATTTTTTCCTCAAATACGACCTATTTTTTTTATCATTTCCTCAATTTTTGTATTTTTTATATTGTATCTTAAATTATGTGATTTGTTTTATTTTTTCCTCGCATGTTGACAATTTTCGTCCAAAAAAATAGTGGACATTTGCATTTGAAGTAATGTGAAAAAATTCAATGAGTTAAGTGGACAATGTAAACAATTTAATAGTTTAAGGGCCAAAATAAAATTAAGTCTATAATTAAAGGGGTCAAAATATAATTTATCTTTTTTGAACCTTGAATGTCAATTCTCTTTTTAATATCCTATAATCATGTGGTGCAATTATATACGTTTGTACGATTTACCAAACCCCTTTGTGAAGATTTTAGAATCTTTGATTAGTGTATAAATAATTATTTTTCAAAGTTGTTGATAGGTCAAATTCAAAAAGAATTTAGGTTTAGTGAGTTTAAATTGTAAATATATAGACTCATGTAAGAATAAATTGTTATACACCATTCGAATCTAAAATAACACAAAACNAGTGTATAAATAATTATTTTTCAAAGTTGTTGATAGGTCAAATTCAAAAAGAATTTAAGTTTAGTGAGTTTAAATTGTAAATATATAGATTCACGTAAGAATAAATTGGTATACACCACTCGAATCTAACATAACACAAAATTCAATATACACTACTATAAACATATCTTGTGTTGAATTTATAAATTTTGAAACCATGGGACAAGATGATGACATAACCCAACTCATGATGTGTATGGTGTGGCCTGCCATTTGTTCATCATATAGAAATGAAGCATGGCAGGCAACAAAAGAGCACTAAAGGCTATGCTGATGCTGAGCTGCTGCTTTTCTTAGGCCATGATATCGTTTGAATGCTATCATCTGGAAGTCAAATTTTAGTGATGGGAAAATTAAGTTGCTGTTAAGCTCAGCTGAAAATGGTTTATGACTAGAACAGCATCGATTTATCTAGATCACTCCAACGTTGCAGCTTCGGGTCTGATGTATATGCAGAACAGTGAACAAGATTAGGCACTTTTAGGGAAGGTGCATGTTACAATCCTATATCGGTTAAAAATAAGACTAGATATGTGTATACAAATTTTTGAACACTCTTATCTTACAAGTCGATTTACAGAGACAAGTTCTATCCATGGGTTTCTAACAATTGGTATCAGAGCTACATAGAGTGTCAGAAAGTATACTTTGTGTTCAAAATCTTCTTTTTACGAGCTCATTTTGAAAGACAGTGTTCTAACTAAATGGGTTAAATTTAATTTTAACTCCACTTATCACCCACAAATGGATGGGCAAACGGAGGTTGTTAATCGTACCATTGAGATGTACTTTGTGTTGCTTCACTAATTCTAAACCACGGAGTGGTTAATGTGGCTACCATGGGTAGAACATTGTTACAATACCGGGTTTCATTCTTTCATTGGTTGGACTCCATTTGAAGTCGTGTATGGGCGTGAATCATCCAATCTATCAGCCCATGTGTTCAGGGTACTTCACGAACAGAATCTATTGTGAAATTTTTGATTGGAACGAGATAACATCTTACGTGAAGTTCAAATTAATTTGAATGAAGCGCACCAAAGGATGAAAAGAATTTATGATGGAAAACGGACTGATCACACATTTGTGGAAGGAGATTGGGTTTATTTAAAATTATGTTCGTATCGTCAGTTAACTATAGCGCAAAGAAAGAACCAAAGGTTGACTCTAAGTATTTTGGCCCCTTTAAGGTTATAAAAAAAATGGGTGAGGTGGCTTATAAGTTGGAGCTGCTAAAAGGTTCGAAAATTCATCCAGTTTTTCATGTTTCCTCTTTGAAACAAAAGTTAGGCCTGCTGCCTTGTTAACGCCTAACTTACCAGAATATTTGGAGGCAGAGGTTTTCCCTATTCCTAAGGCTGTTATGGACCACCAAACCTTAATTCACTGGGAAGGGTTGTCTCCAATCGAAGCTACTGGAGAGGATTTAGAGGAGTTCACGACTAGGTACCCATTCTTTACTCTTTTAAGGACAAGGGTAATTTGAAGGAGGAGAGAATTGTTACGGGACTCAAAGAAAAGCATAGGTGCAAAGAAATTAGGAGCAGTTGGGCAACGAGATTGTTTTGGTGATTGCTTCATAGTTTTTCTCACAATTGCTTCATAGTTTAGGAGTTTAAATTCAATAGGGGGACTATGGTTCTTACGGTTTAGTCGGCTAGGTAGGATATTGCTATTTATTTGGATAGTTTGTTTGCAAAAGGATATGCTTGTTATCCCTATTAGTTAGGATTGGTTAACAATTGTTTTGAACTCATAGGTAGAACTTGTCCTTAAAAACTAACTTAAAAGGGAAAGGTGCTCTAGAATTTATATATAAAAAAGACCTTTGGTGAGATAAAAGAGAGCGGACCCAAAACTACTATAGGTGCATGTGTGTGTACGTATGTGTGTGCATGAGAGAGAGAGGACGACCAAAACATAGCATTCCCTAAGAAATATAACAAAAAAGTAGATTAATATGCATGGATCAACCACAGTTACACCATAACCAATTTCATTGAGCCTCTAAATCATTGAATTCAAGGAACATATGTTTATAATTGCAATAAGCTTCAACATTTTATTATATTGCGATATCATTTATTCACTACATAAACAATAGTAAACACCAACCACATAGTTTCGTGCATTGGTGATTTTCCTTATTTCAAAGACTTGATACATCATCAATTCTCTTTTTCTTCCTTTTTCCCCCTTTCTTGCTTTTTTTTTTTGAAGTGTAGTTCCATCTATAATTGTTGTAGCGACGAATATTCATGCTGATGTAATAAATCTATACTGATGGGTGCTCTTGCGGATCAAACACTCGATTGTGGCAAGTATTGTCACAAGGGTATGGACAATCTATCTTTTGAAATGGACTGCGATCGTAATACCAGTCTCCAACTGCTTTTGCAATTGTCTGCACAACACATTTCAGCACAAATAGGTGTTAAGATCTCCATAAACGAGTGCGGATGAAAAGTAATAATACAAAAAGGAAAAAAACTAAAAAATACTGAAAGCATGTTTATAACAATAGAAAGCGACATATAAGGGAACCAATTTTGGTACCTTATTACTCAACCGGGGAGAGTCATTCNAAAATACTGAAAGCATGTTTATAACAATAGAAAGCGACATATAAGGGAACCAATTTTGGTACCTTATTACTCAACCGGGGAGAGTCATTCCTCAACCATAACTCCTGCATTTCAGTTTGGCAGTGTGCATAGCAAGAGTTGATAAACATTCCTTTAGATGTAGAGCTGCCCAATGCAGGCAATGCACTTAAAAACTCCAACCTGAAATCTGAAAATTATGCAGAAAAATTATCATAAACGAAGCCTTAAAAGGTTGCTCCTATTCAAAGTTGTGAAGTTATTGAATAAGTTTTGCTCTCAAAGTGGTTGGTGGTCGTTTCCACACGAGAAGGTAATTGGCGGAGCTATTTACGGGCAAGCAGAATAAATAATAACTAGGTCATTGGCAATGAAAGCAACCCAATTTGGATTTGGTTCATTTATCTTGTATCTAATTTGGTACCCTTATTCGCTGTCGTGGGTACACCAAAGACACTAGTGAACAGGGACATTGCCCTTCCTATATGATATTAAAAAGGAGTGCCTCTTTCTTCACTTGCTAAAACCCATTGATGTAGAACTGTGTGAAGTTATGAATTCTGACTTTGTTGTCTTAGTTCTATTGTTTAGGCAATGTAAATCATGAGACCCATAAACACCCAATTATAAAAAATGACTAAGAAGCAGAGGACGCTCGCAAATTAAGGTGTATATGACTACTTAAAGCATGACCAGAGCTAGGTGTGATGTGCTGAAAAGATTCTGGTAGTGACCTTGCATGGTTTTGAGTTGAGTAGGCGAGCAGTTCTTTACATCAATCTTGCAGTTGTGCCATAAGCCATGAGGATCGGCAACACCAGGAGCCAAAATGTTCTTTATCTGAATAAAATAAAATGAATCCAAAAATTAGAGAGAACTGAAGCATGCAAAAATCAAAGAAGTGGATAAAATGGAAAAATGAACCAAGCAAACACCAGTAAACCGGGGAAAAAGAGAATGTCAGAGAGTTGCGCTATATCACTCCATTACAATTTTGAAATACTGAAAATCTTTGACTAAAAATGAGGGAAGGTTCTCCAAAATGATTGCAGTAACAACGGTATAACAGTTGTCATTGTNGTTCATCCAGTTTTTCATGTTTCCTCTTTGAAACAAAAGTTAGGCCTGCTGCCTTGTTAACGCCTAACTTACCAGAATATTTGGAGGCAGAGGTTTTCCCTATTCCTAAGGCTGTTATGGACCACCAAACCTTAATTCACTGGGAAGGGTTGTCTCCAATCGAAGCTACTGGAGAGGATTTAGAGGAGTTCACGACTAGGTACCCATTCTTTACTCTTTTAAGGACAAGGGTAATTTGAAGGAGGAGAGAATTGTTACGGGACTCAAAGAAAAGCATAGGTGCAAAGAAATTAGGAGCAGTTGGGCAACGAGATTGTTTTGGTGATTGCTTCATAGTTTTTCTCACAATTGCTTCATAGTTTAGGAGTTTAAATTCAATAGGGGGACTATGGTTCTTACGGTTTAGTCGGCTAGGTAGGATATTGCTATTTATTTGGATAGTTTGTTTGCAAAAGGATATGCTTGTTATCCCTATTAGTTAGGATTGGTTAACAATTGTTTTGAACTCATAGGTAGAACTTGNGTTATCCCTATTAGTTAGGATTGGTTAACAATTGTTTTGAACTCATAGGTAGAACTTGCCCTTAAAAACTAACTTAAAAGGGAAAGGTGCTCTAGAATTTATATATAAAAAAGACCTTTGGCGAGATAAAAGAGAGCGGACCCAAAACAACTATAGGTGCATGTGTGTGTACGTATGTGTGTGCATGAGAGAGAGAGGACGACCAAAACATAGCATTCCCTAAGAAATATAACAAAAAAGTAGATTAATATGCATGGATCAACCACAGTTACACCATAACCAATTTCATTGAGCCTCTAAATCATTGAATTCAAGGAACATATGTTTATAATTGCAATAAGCTTGAACATTTTATTATATTGCGATATCATTTATTCACTACATAAACAATAGTAAACACCAACCACATAGTTTAGTGCATTGGTGATTTTCCTTATTTCAAAGACTTGATACATCATCAATTCTCTTTTTCTTTTTTCCCCTTTCTTGCTTTTTTTTTTTGAAGTGTAGTTCCGTCTATAATTGTTGTAGCGACGAATATTCATGCTGATGTAATAAATCTATACTGATGGGTGCTCTTGCGGAGCGACGAATATTCATGCTGATGTAATAAATCTATACTGATGGGTGCTCTTGCGGATCAAACACTCGATTGTGGCAAGTATTGTCACAAGGGTATGGACAATCTATCTTTTGAAATGGACTGCGATCGTAATACCAGTCTCCAACTGCTTTTGCAATTGTCTGCACAACACATTTCAGCACAAATAGGTGTTAAGATCTCCATAAACGAGTGCGGATGAAAAGTAATAATACAAAAAGGAAAAAAACTAAAAAATACTGAAAGCATGTTTATAACAATAGAAAGCGACGTTGAAAGTGACATATAAGGGAACCAATTTTGGTACCTTATTACTCAACCGGGGAGAGTCATTCCTCAACCATAACTCCTGCATTTCAGTTTGGCAGTGTGCATAGCAAGAGTTGATAAACATTCCTTTAGATGTAGAGCTGCCCAATGCAGGCAATGCACTTAAAAACTCCAACCTGAAATCTGAAAATTATGCAGAAAAATTATCATAAACGAAGCCTTAAAAGGTTGCTCCTATTCAAAGTTGTGAAGTTATTGAATAAATTTTGCTCTCAAGGTGGTTGGTGGTCGTTTCCACACGAGAAGGTAATTGGCGGAGCTATTTACGGGCAAGCAGAATAAATAATAACTAGGTCATTGGCAATGAAAGCAACCCAATTTGGATTTGGTTCATTTATCTTGTATCTAATTTGGTACCCTTATTCGCTGTCGTGGGTACACCAAAGACACTAGTGAACAGGGACATTGCCCTTCCTATATGATATTAAAAAGGAGTGCCTCTTTCTTCACTTGCTAAAACCCATTGATGTAGAACTGTGTGAAGTTATGAATTCTGACTTTGTTGTCTTAGTTCTAGTGTTTAGGCAATGTAAATCATGAGACCCATAAACACCCAATTATAAAAAATGACTAAGAAGCAGAGGACGCTCGCAAATTAAGGTGTATATGACTACTTAAAGCATGACCAGAGCTAGGTGTGATGTGCTGAAAAGATTCTGGTAGTGACCTTGCATGGTTTTGAGTTGAGTAGGCGAGCAGTTCTTTACATCAATCTTGCAGTTGTGCCACAAGCCATGAGGATCGGCAACACCAGGAGCCAAAATGTTCTTTATCTGAATAAAATAAAATGAATCCAAAAATTAGAGAGAACTGAAGCATGCAAAAATCAAAGAAGTGGATAAAATGGAAAAATGAACCAAGCAAACACCAGTAAACCGGGGAAAAAGAGAATGTCAGAGAGTTGCGCTATATCACTCCATTACAATTTTGAAATACTGAAAATCTTTGACTAAAAATGAGGGAAGGTTCTCCAAAATGATTGCAGTAACAACGGTATAACAGTTGTCATTGTCTCTATTCTTTTTGCCCCTTTCAAGACATTAAAGCATAACTCGTTGTTCTCAAAGAAAGACAGAAGGGACTGAAATCATACGCCATCTTAGTGTCAGAAGATGAATAATATGCACACACAATAATACAATTGATAGTACTGTGAATGAAGCTGGGTACAATACATCATCTGTAATAAAAGGGAGACCAAAATTCACCAAAGATCGATAGTAGTACCCCAATAATGGAAATAATCGTGATAATATGAAAAATGCAATTCAAACCTAGTTGGACCAGCCAGGACACATTCTACATTCCGGAAAACAAAACATGTTGCAAAATTCATGGGGTGTGAAAAATCAGATGCATTCGATTTAGTCAGACATATTAATGGGCAAATTGCAAGTCTGCAAATTAAAAGATGACTTGCATCACCTTCTGTTTGCAGCTGCTGAGTCCTGGAATCACAGAAGCTAAAAAATGGGACTTCCATTCTTTAGTTTTCATTTTGTGATCATATCATGATATGCAAATCCAACGAGAAGATTGATGTAAAATCTCACTAACTTTTTAATCATTCCATATCAATGAGCTGATCAGGCAAGTGCTACATTTTCCCAGTTTTACTCTGAGTTAACGGAATGAGGTATGGTGAAATTTTGTTGAAGAAAAGAATTGGTGTTGCAAGGCATTACTCCAAAATGTCAGCTTATCGATTTAAGGATGAAATGATAGAGACCTGGTTGAATCGCTTCCATATCCTACTTCCAAATTCATTNTATCTATTCCCTTTGCCCCTTTCAAGACATTAAAGCATAACTCGCTGTTCTCAAAGAAAGACAGAAGGGACTGAAATCATTCACCATCTTAGTGTCAGAAGATGAATAATTTGCACACACAATAATACAATTGATAGTACTGTGAATGAAGCTGGGTACAATACATCAGCTGTAAAAGGGAGACCAAAATTCACCAAAGATCGATATTAGTACCCCAATAATGGAAATAATCGTGATAATATGAAAAATGCAATTCAAAACTAGTTGGACCAGCCAGGACACATTCTACATTCCGCAAAACAAAACATGTTGCAAAATTCATGGGGTGTGAAAAATCAGATGCATTCGATTTAGTCAGACATATTAATGGGCAAATTGCAAGTCTGCAATTAAAAGATGACTTGCATCACCTTCTGTTTGCAGCTGCTGAGTCCTGGAATCACAGAAGCTGAAAAATGGGACTTCCATTCTTTAGTTCTCATTTTGCGATCAAATCATGATATGCGAATCCAACAAGAAGATTGATGTAAAATCTCACTAACTTTTTAATCATTCCATATCAATGAGCTGATCAGGCAAGTGCTACATTTTCCCAGTTTTTCTGTGAGTTAACGGAATGAGGTATGGTGAAATTTTGTTGAAGAAAAGAATTGGTGTTGCAAGGCATTACTCCAAAATGTCAGCTTATTGATTTNTTCTGTGAGTTAACGGAATGAGGTATGGTGAAATTTTGTTGAAGAAAAGAATTGGTGTTGCAAGGCATTACTCCAAAATGTCAGCTTATTGATTTAAGGATGAAATGATAGAGACCTGGTTGAATTGCTTCCATATCCTACTTCCAAATTCATTTCAGTAAACAAAGTGTTGGGTCTTATGTGAATATAAACTTAAAAAGAATATGGTTTAAATTTACAGATTTCTGAAATTAATCAACAGATAACAATGATGAGGAAAGTATTCCAAAATCCAGAAAGAGAAAATATAACAGGAAGAAGAGAGTTATGCAAATATAAAAGATGGAACGCTATTAATCCCAGCCTTTGTCATTCATAACTAGAAATGATCTAACCTGCCATGAATCATAGGCCGCATTTACCATAAAAAGAGGTGTCTGGATTCCTTGTGCTACGTTTTGTGGGAAAAAGCACTGCAGTATCACTGAAATGTATTGGTATGATTCTAAATATATGGAAAATTATAAGAATACTTAAAAAAAAAGAAAAACTGCTCTTACCAAACTTGGTCTCATTTTTGAAGTGCACGATGCCGGTAAATTCTTTGCTGATCCCTGGAGCCAATTCAAAGGAAAACTTGGAATCAAGAAGTGCATCTTAATTCAGTATACATAGTCTTTTCTTATTTTATTTGGAGAAAAAGGAAAACAAAGAAGAAAACATCTTGAGCTAGAGAGAGAGAGAGTGTACGTGTGTCATAACCACTTCATTATAGACGCCTTCAATATGCAGTGCACCTGAAACATCCTTCCTGTTATTGAGCATCAAACTGATCAGCTACACTTGGAAAAAAAATTTAAAACAGCTTGCATAGTTTTAAGGATACGACTGGGGTACAAGGTCCTGTATGAAAGCTTACGCATTGATAAAATATCCTGCGTCCGAAAAGCATTTTACTTTGGTACCCATGGGTACAAGAGCTCGGAAGCTATCGCAATGCAATATTGAAGTCAACCCACCAGCTGAACATCCAGAGAGAATTGCCTGTCATAACAAGATTTTAGGGGTTATTAAGAACAAGGACAATGCACGTGTATGTGCCAGTAGAAGGGGTGGGGAGGAATAAGTCTTCAATCGATCATACATTTTCCGCGTTCTTCATTCCCTTTGCTAATAGATCCTCTATAACAGCAAGGAAAATCCTTGCTCCTCTGTAGTGAAGATTTGTAGCCTGACAAACATTGCTACTTTATTAGAAGCCACGAAAACATGGAAATTCCTAAATTGGCACTGGACTACTGTACTCTCCATTAAACTTAGTCTAAATATTTTGGTTTCTGAATCAAACAGAAGATAAGCAGAGNCCTTATTAGAAGCCACGAAAACATGGAAATTCCTAAATTGGCACTGGACTACTGTACTCCCCATTAAACTTAGTCTAAATATTTTGGTTTCTGAATCAAACAGAAGATAAGCAGAGGCATCTCTTTCAAACTGAGCTATAATCAAAGATCAAAATTTCGTTTCATTATATAGTTTATGTGAGCTTGGAAATGAAAATATTTTGGAAAAATTTTCGAAATAGGATAGAAACAAAGAACTCTTTGTAGAACATCAATCGAAACATTCCAAATCCAATTGAAACATACTAAAACACCTCAAAACATAACTGCAAAACGGTAAAGTTTTAGANTGTAGTTTATGTAGTTTCTGTGAGCTTGGAAATGAAAATATTTTAGAAACATTTTCGAAATAGGATAGAAACAAAGAACTCTTTGTAGAACATCAATCAAAACATTCCAAATCGAATTGAAACATACTAAAACACCTCAAAACATAACTGCAAAACGGTAAAGTTTTAGACGATTTGACCGACATGAAATGTAGTTACTTGGCTATAATTCCAATCTGATTAAGATCTTTCACTTACTCGATCAACAGCTTCCACATCACCAGTAAATGATGCTCCATCACAATACCTCACCTTGATCCTATTCCAATTATAAAAATCTGGAAATTCAAATACAGTATGATTTATCGAGCTATATTAAGAGAATACCAAAGTTCAAGCAAGATATTGAGAGCCTCTACCTGGATTAAACTGTGGTTTGTTGCTCAGGAGCCCTGAGAAAGAAAGTTGTGTTACCATTTTCTTAGAAGAACCTAAGCGGGTATTTTTACGGGCAAGGCAAGTGGTGACATTGTTGCACCATCCTCCTCCCTAAAGATGCAAAACAAAAATTGTTTATACACATAAAGAGATAAATTCATTGATCTGTCTAATGTTATATAACCAAATTCTTAAGTCTACTAAGCAGATCATCCAAGCATTCTTAATGAAGTAATTCTCCAAGTCCCAGACTTCAATATTCTCATTCCTATTTCCTTTCATTTCATGCCAATTAATCGATGCAGCGTCTTCTACTCATTCCTTTTAGAAATCAAATGCATTACATGACGTTTGTTTGCATTTTTATTTTGTGTTTGTTAATATCAGAGCAATTAAAAGGATTGCATATTCAGTGAAATAAATGTTTTTAGATGGCGCACAACGGAACAGACCAACCTCAATGTGAACCAACCAGTTGTTAGTTCCTGCTCCAAATCCCTTATCAAAATGGTATGCTGGTGGACTCCCATCCAAACAAACTGCATCATACCAAAATTACAAACTCAACAAATCTATTATCCAAATAATTTAGGATCGGCTACGTGAATTCTGTTTCTAAATATTTTTCAAATGAACATAGAAAAATATTGCTCAAAGCCCAAAAAAAAAAAAAAAAAAAAAAAAAANCACCTGCTCCTTTTGCCACGGCATTCGTAACGTAAGTTATTCCGACATTGAAGCCTTCTGTTTTCAGCAAGATCAGTACACTAACTAGTAGGTATAACAATTGAGCAGATCTTGCATGGAACATTCTACACATTGCCAATAAAATTCATTAATTACAGTATCAAAAAATACATGGGAAAATGAAGAAAATAGAAGAGAAAATTAAGCAGATAATAGAGAATAACCAAGTCATTTTTTTTTTTGAAGAAAAAAAAGGAAATAAATAGCTATTAACATTATACATTTATACCAATATCAACCCTCTCCATCAATTTGCTCCACTGGGATAGTACCTCTTACAAGTTACAAGTTCTCAAAACCCATGATTGGTTCAATTTCTTTATGCTATTCAACTGACACACACACATAAGTGTTTTATATAAATATGACAGAAACAATGGAAAAAGGATTTGGATCCCTCCATTATCCTCGATTCCCTTCAACATAGTGTTTAATACGGCGGTAGATGAGTGATGTGTATAAAATTCTGAATTTGGATAAATAAGATTTTTGTTTGTAAGAAATTTTTTTAATAATAATTAATATTCTACCAACAACAAAATAAAAAGAGAAAATATCCTATTCATTGAAATTCAAAATCTTCCCCATGTCACTCACATATGTCACTCGTATTAAGAGAAATTAAAGAAAAAGAGTAATGGAGGGATGTAAATCCATGGAAAACCAACCCATCACTGTAATAATTTATAGACTTGATTGAATCTTCGTTGAGTTTTCCTAGCTAGAAAAAGCAGGTATACGAAAGGGATATAAATGTTTGTGTAGTACCTGAAAATGGAAAGCGAGAGAGAGAGACAATAAGAGGCCAATTATGATCTTCAATTGATAGAATTGGAAGCAAACCCAGTTGAGTTTTTTGATATTTGGAGCACTAAGAAGCTAGAAACCAAGGACTTGGATCAAACCCAGATGCGTTTTTCGAGATTTGGAGCTCTAAGGAGCACGAAACCAGGTAGAGGTAGAGCCTAAAAGAACACTACCAATAACAAGTCTACCTCCAAACAGCTATTACAAGGAGACAATTTATAGACAGCGGGGAAGCAGAGAACCCAATAGCCGACCGACACTGATTCGCTCCAAAAAAAAACCCACTGTAACGCATAAAAAAACATTTATTTATTCAGCTACATTAGTTGGATCCGACCCGAGCCGATTTCAGGTTGCAAAAGTAACTGAAGCCAAAAACGAATCTTATCGTNTTCAGCTACATTAGTTGGATCCGACCCGAGCCGATTTCAGGTTGCAAAAGTAACTGAAGCCAAAAACGAATCTTATCGATTTACGCGCTCTAAATTGATTGAATGACTGGCATTGCATGGGGAAAGTCATACCCATAATTAGATTGGACCCACAATTTACTTGACATGTGGATGACGCTATTTAGTTAAAGTAACAGCGACCACAGACTTCGAACTGAAGTTACTCTGACGTTTAAGTTAGAAATCGAGTCGAATAAATTATGTAATAAATATTTTAAGATTGAATGAATTACGTGACATTTGAAAGTCATTATTTATAATGATAAAAAACGGTGTTTTAAATGAACTTAAATTCTAGGTGGTGATAGAATTGATCTAATCATTAGTTTCTAGATATTCTGAGTCCAATTAAACTATGTCTTTTTTAGCTCATGATTATTCGGAGNTGAAATATGAGAGAGGGAGATTTTTTTTTAATGGTTAAAAAAAGAGTGGAAGTAAAAGAGAGTGTTCGGAGATCATTTCGATAGACTCTCACTAGTACGATTATGAGATTCTTGATTGCGCCTGTTATTTCTCTTAGAAACAAATTTAGTTAGGCTAACATAGCGGTCAATCATCGAACTCCAATGTAAACTCCAAGATTCAAATTTCCACCATCAGGATAAGAAGTTCGATCNAACCGAGATGGACAAGTAAGAGGAGCGTCTGCGAGGTATCTCCTTATTGGTGACCATAGATCGGCAACCAATCCTTGGGACCTTGTCGGTTAGCACTTGCTTAGCCAAAAAAAAGAAACCACGCATTTAAGTAGGACTTTGTGTTAGGTTGATCCTTAGGCGAGTATGACTCGACTAGGAGACACAGTGGCAAGGTCACGAGACCATTGTAACTTTTTTTTTTTTTTTGGGGGGAGGGGTAGTGAAACCCGTGTAGCTAGCTACCAATCGACTAGCCCTTATTGCTTGACTGCCAATCGACACCTACCTCTTGGTGCTTTGTTGGTTGACAAGTACTTGGACAAATGAGTTAAATACAAATATTTTTATTTCGACGTAAATGATATATTTTTGATCAATTTAAAAAAAGAGTTAAGTCAAATTTTACTTGAGACTACTCTAATATACATATTTTTTAATTATTTTTTGATGGATCATCTACCATCTATTTTAGTAAGAGACTCATTTATAATTGAATCTAGTGGACCATAGGCCAAAACAAATATATATATATATATATATTAGAGTACTCATAAAAAATTTATATACCCTCAATTAGAAATTTATGTCATTCAAAAATCTATGTAATATTAGTATTAGAAAGTTAAATTCTCAATTTATGAAATCACAACAACGATTAAGAGTAATTTAATTTTTATCTATTTTGATTTAATGATATAAAATTTATTTTTAATGCCAGACAGCCTAACAATTCACACTTATACCTCTAATCTCTCTCTTCTATCTATTTCTTATTGTATTATTGTTAATTTAATTTTAAATTACATGATTACATTAAAAATAAATAAATTTAAGATATTATACGATCAATATTTAATTTTTAATATAATAAAATTTCTTGAGACACATGGTTATTACTAGTTATAAGATAAAACAAGTACGATCTATGTCAAAGTTAATTGGAAGAAGTAAGATCGACCTATTTGCCACAAGTTTGAAGAACGAACTCTATGGAATATGTTGTTGAATAAAGACTAGACGTTGAACTCTATGGAAAAGTAATGAAGAAACTTTTTCCTTGATAGCTGAAAGAAGAAACTGTTTATATTCGGCTTATCAATTGTCTTGCATTAAACGGTTTTGTATCAAAAATTATTTAATTTTTTTTACATAATTCATTTAAATAAACTAGTGAAAATCACGAAATCGAATATGATTAATTTAATAATCAACTTATATGACAAAACTCGTTTAACTTATTTAATAAATGAATCGTTTTGTATATATTTGCCTTAATATGATAGCTCTTTCAATCTGTCATCATTGCTGACCTATTTGTCATAAAATATTATTGTGTACATTTCAACTGATTATTCTTCCTAACTAATTACACAAAAAATATGACATTTTAGTGATATCAACCCACATCATAAAAATACTTAAAACTATAAAAATGAAATCATATAAAAAAAAAAATCAAATTAACAATTCAATCAAGAATAAAGTACACAAGAAGTATTTAAAATTAAATTAGAATAATTATTATTACATCAATTTAATCTGAATATAATCCATTTATTCACTCAAATATATTTAATTTTCTGTCGGTTTGTATCAAATCAGATATCGACAAGACTGATTTATTGGTCCACCGAAAGTGGTCCAGCCAGCATATTAATTAATAATTGCACTGAGATCAGATGAAAGTGACAAGAGAGAGGAGAGAGTAGGCAGTGAAAGGCCGTGCACCCTACGCACTGTGCCTCCAGCTCTCAGCCAGGTTGGGCGTGATGTACTTTGCGAGCTTTTCTGGTCACCATGCACTATGGCTCTTTTTCGGTCGGGGACCGGTGAAGAGAGGGAACCACCTTGTTCAAATTCACTGGCCAATTAAGACAATCTAAATTTTTGGGATGAGAAATGCTATAAGGATTTAATTTAAATAGTGTTGGTGGTGGTAATTTTGAAATATGAGAGAGGGAGATTTTTTTTTAATGGTTAAAAAAAGAGTGGAAGTAAAAAAGAGTGTTCGGAGATCATTTCAATAGGTTCTCACTAGTACGATTATGAGATTCTTGATTGCGCCTGTTATTCCTCTTAGAAACAAATTTAGTTAGGATAACATAGCGGTCAATCACCGAACTCTAATATAGGTTCCAAGATTTGAACTTTCAACCATCAGGATAAGAAGTTCGATTGATACCCTATTAAACCACTCGGTGGTTGAGAGAGATAGGTTGAAGAGCTCTTCAATGAAATAAATATACCGATTATCGGCAACAAAGAATTTGAACAAGTAAATTAATCATAAGAATTAATAAGCACGAGAGGTTAATGGTTCACTAGCTGAAAAAATTAATTAATCGATTCTAATAGAGTCTCTTGTCCTTAAAATTTGCATTACTTGATGAGTTAGAAGACGTTTACAATCTTTTTATGTGTAATTGCTCATATATCTGGTACTATCACGCATCTAATTAGATATTTTAATTCAACACAATTATTAAATCAGATAGAATTCATTATCAATTAAATGATTGATTTAAATTAGATCCTTGCATTAGACCTAACTAGTATTTTTCTTTTGATATACATGACCATTTGTTAATCATGAGCATTGATTATTCAAATATGCAAATAAATAAGTTAAACATGAGGGGTATGGATTTTACACCTCTTATTCAACGTGAACCAAATCATATGTTTTTTATTCTTGACGTGTAGAAGAGGAATCAAAACGTAGCAAAAGGACTTGTGGCGGCAAGCGAACAAAAGAGGTATGGTTAGTCACTTGCCAAATTGAAGAACAGCCATTCAGAATTCTCACATCTACAATTCCTCAAAGTAGGTAGCTATTTAATAACTTTCCAATGAATTCCTTGGTTGGGCCCTGAACTATGAACATAACATTATTCTGATAATCAAATTTGGATTAGACTTTTAAAATTAAATTTGAAATTACATCAATCAAACATAATTCGATTCATTAATAGGCCTATTTGTTGGAGTGATAACTCTATTTAGATCAACTCTTACACTGAATTTGGTTGGATGGATGGAAAATGAGGTGAATGAAAAGGCTTTCCGCTGTTTGATATCAAAGGAAAAAATGATGGAAAGGAAAATTGGAGGGAGAACTTTTCTCTCCCGCCCACAATATGCTTTTCCCCCAAAAATGAGAGGAAGGTAAGACAATTTAACTTTTTAAGGATTATTTTATTTTGTTATCCTTCGTTATTAATTATTTAAAAATTAATATAAGGGTAAAATTGTAAATTGAGCTTGCATATTTTTTCTTTCCTTTCATTTTTCATCTAATACTAAACGATGAAAATTATATTCTTTTTACTTTTCATCCTTCCTATCAAACAAAAAAGAACAGAAAAATAACTTTCTTTCCGTAAAGGATGAAAAGTTTATCCCTTCCACTTTTCTTTTTTTTCAACTTTCCGTCTTTCGTATCAAACGGACCATTAAGATAGTTGAGTGGTCAAGTCTGTCCTCTAACAAGTAAATTGTCTCACGTTCGATAATTCTCACACTTCCTAAGGACAAGTCACCCTTGTTTTTCAAGAGACATGTTTTTAAATTAACTTGAGTTACGATAATTAATTTAGAGTTTGAGAGAATAGTCGACGTAAACTTGAATAACTTTTAAAAATATATTTAAAAAAAACTCAATTTATATCTGCAATACACGTATCGGCACTTGGTTCAACTCCTATCCCTTCGCCTTTAATAGTGTGAAAAAAAAAAATCTTTGGTCTTTAATGTTGGGTGCATTTAATGCTTAAGATTTTTAATGGGTTATAGAATCATTCTTATAAACCGTAATGCTAGATTGACTAAATTTTGAGATTAAATTTAGAGTCTAAATGATATGGCAGCTGACTTGGATTTCTCTCATTGGTATCATATCATTTGGGTCTCAATAAAAATTTTAAATAATCAACTGTCATGTCATTTGAACTCAAAATTTAGTTTTAAAATTTAATCAGCATAACATTACTCTTTTTTTAAATTAATATGATACAATCATTAAATTTAGCCCCATCATTGAAGAATTCTAGTTTTTACTTGGATGTACAAGAATGGTAAGAGAGAAATCAATGGATTCCTGGTCATCACATACAGCACTTTCGTATAAATAAGATTAAAAAAAAATTATATA